CCCCCCCACAAGGCCCTGCTGCACCGCTGGCCACAGCCTCCTCTCTCGGGGACAATCCGTACACCAGGAAGGCGGGCTCCTCAGGGCAGGGCGCCATCGCTGCTTGATAAAACGATACGGTCTACATGGTGGATCGCCTTCTTTCTTAAAGAAACTCGCTTTTAACATTCCCTGTGGGAGTCAGCCCAGGGGGTCCAGGTCCACGCAACAAGCCGGGCTAGAGGCTGAGGGGCTCACCCCGGGGCCCTGGTCTGGCTTGAGGGGCTGAGATGGAGAGGCCGCCTGGAGGCGCTGGGGCGGGACTGGGGGAGCCCTCCTGTCAAACGGCACCCCGTCCCCTGGGTGACCATGCAAGTTGGAGGCTGGGGCAGGGAGAGCCCCTCCCCCGCGAGGGAGCCCCGACAGGAAGGTCCCTCCTGGGCTGGGAGGTGGCTTCTGCGTGCCCGCCTGATGGGGGCTGCTGGGAGGGGCTGCAGGGCAGGGATGAAGCCAGCCCCTCGTTCCAGGCAAGGGTGGGGGTCCTGACCAGGGCACGCTGAGCTGAGACCCCGCTGGGGGCAGGTGTCCGGTGCTTCCCAGTCAGCAGGCCCCTGTCCCTTGCCGGGTCCCTGTGGGTCACTCCGGGCTCAGTGCCCCTGTCACTGATGGCTCCACAGAAGCAGGTGAGGCCCCCAGGCGGGGGGAGGTGGACACAGCCCTGGTGGCCCTGGGTTTGCTCGTGGCTGGGGACTCCTAGCTGACGCCCTTGGGTCTGGAGCCAGGGCGGCTCCCTCAGGCGCAGGGCCCGCTCTCCGGAGGGGTGGGTGTCACCTGCCAATTGCCTTGTAGGTTACGGGTGAACAAGGCCACAGGCCTCTTCCCCAAACCCTACCTCAGGGTCCTCTCCAGGCCGGGCGCCCTCACCACGGGCGTAAGCATCCCAGCCTCCACCGGGTTAGAAGCAGCTTTCTCCTCCGCCTGGCGCCTGGGTGTGAGGCAGTGGGGCCCCCTCCCCTCCCTGCAGGTGCCCCCTGGGCCACACTCCTCCCTCCCCCAACTCTCCCTGCATGTGGCCC